CACTCTGTCAATTTAGTGGCAGCCACAAAACTATCAGAGCCCTTTTTGGGTAAATAAATATTTCTTAAATAATGCATACAGCCTCATAAACTTGCCACTTCCCTTCCCATAAAACCCGCTAATTGTAGTTGTGGTCTGAAAGCGTCCCCCTGGATGCTCACCAGCAGCTCCTGCCCACCTCGTCACCCCTCTGGGGTCCCCTCCTCTAACCTTGCTGCAGGGGTCAGGAGAGGACAACTGTGGGACACGGAGGTGTGACAGGGCAAATAGCAGCTGATTTAATGGACTTGGGGATGAGAGAGCAGGAAGGCCTTTTGGTTCTCTGCTGTGGCACAATGACTCTTGATTTTCTCTCCCTTTTGATGCCCCTCCTGTGTTTCTCACCACAAGGGTCTCCAGGAATGAAGATTTACATTGACCCTTTCACTTACGAGGACCCCAACGAGGCAGTGCGTGAGTTCGCCAAGGAGATTGACGTCTCCTTTGTGAAGATTGAAGAGGTCATTGGAGCAGGTGGGTCCCTGCTGCCATGTCCCTGCCCTTTCCACCCTCCTGGGTGGGTTGTTTGGGGGGTGGTGAGCAATTGCTTGTGCATAACTTGTTATATACATTCGTATATAGTTGTAGCTATTAACCTTTTCCTTTTCTCTATCTTAGTAAATAGTTTTATCTCAACCCATGAGTTCTACTTTTGTTTTTTTTTTTTGCTGGGTTTTTCCTGGGGGTGCACGTGTGATCCTTCGTTGGGAAATGCAAAGTTCTCAAGGGTTATCAGGCTTTTGGTGGATTAGGGAACATGAGGTTGGTTTCTGCTCTCAAAGCTTCTCTAAGGTTGGGAAGAACTCTAATTTATTCGCTGGGCAGCTGTGGGATTTCCTGGTTTACTTCCTTGAGATTAGAAGGAAAAAAACAGATCTCATTCTAGCCTGTGCCATATTCCCATACATATGTATGGGAACACACGCATACATGTGTCTATATATCATCTGTGGTGCCTTTATTGCAGTTTTTAACTAACTGTGTCATGCTCATAGAAGGGAAAGTGTGAAGGTGGGGGGAAGCTGCAAAGAAGCAGTGAGCTGTTTCAGTCAGGATCAACTTCGGCAGCGTATCGGCTGCCTTTTGCTGCTCATCAAGGCAAAGCAACTGTAAGCCTGGCTTAATTGTAATCCTTCCACAGATAAATTTCACCTTGGTGAAGGAAAAGCTCTCCCAGTGGAAATGAGAGGGAGCTTTTTCTGTGTTCTAAATCAGAGCGCAGCGATGGAAACAGCCCAATTATTTTCCCTTCCTAGATAAGTTATGTGCAAAGAGGTGGCTGTGACTGTCAGTGCGCTCGCACCTTGCACTTGACGTGGTCCTTAAAAGTTGGTGCCTTTGCTGTACAATTTTTCTGGGAGGAATTCCCAAGGGCAGCTCCTGGCTCCGGCAATGGGCTCTGCCAGCGTGGAGGAGGCTGTAAGCCCAGCTATGTCCTCAGCATCTTTCAAAGAGTATGGAGGTTTGTAGAAGGGAGCACCCATGGCTGCCAACTGGCCGATGCTTCTCAGCCAACTGAATTGGATGACCAGCTGCTGTTGTTCTATGCAGATTTGTATAGGGATGGTAACGTGTGGTCTTGCTCTTGCAGGGGAGTTTGGAGAGGTGTACAAAGGCCGCCTGAAGTTGCCTGGCAAGCGGGAGATCTACGTGGCCATCAAAACACTGAAGGCTGGCTATTCAGAGAAGCAGCGTCGGGATTTCCTGAGCGAAGCCAGCATCATGGGGCAGTTTGACCACCCTAATATCATCCGGCTGGAAGGGGTGGTGACCAAGAGCCGACCAGTCATGATTATCACAGAGTTCATGGAGAATGGGGCCCTGGACTCGTTCCTGCGGGTGAGGCAAAGTGGACTATCGTTTGGCTGCAGGGTTTGGGAGCCAGGCCTCCATGATCCTCACATGTGCTCTTTCCAATCACAGCAAAATGACGGGCAGTTCACGGTGATCCAGCTGGTGGGGATGCTCAGAGGGATTGCTGCTGGGATGAAGTACCTGGCAGAGATGAACTATGTCCACAGGGATCTGGCGGCCAGGAACATTCTTGTCAACAGCAACCTGGTGTGCAAAGTGTCAGACTTTGGCCTCTCACGCTACCTGCAGGATGACACGTCTGATCCCACCTACACCAGTTCCTTGGTATGTACCTTGCTTCCCACAGGGGCAAATCTGTGAGCCTCCCATTGAGTCCAGTTCACTAAAAATGGCAAAAATCTGCGCAGCATCACTTGTGCTGCGCTGCACCTGCTGGCAGTGCTCAGAGAGGCAAGTCCTGCCATCATCCACCCCTTACTTCCTCTTGCTGCTTTCCTTCCATCAGCAGGGAAGGATCTGCTGCTTTGCTGCTGGCTTGCTTGGGAAGTGGCCACTGACATTCCTTGCATCATCCGCTTTTCCATTCCTTCTCTATGAGTTTAATGTCTCCCTGCTCCCAAAGCACCTCTCTGCTCTATCCTGACCAACAGACGGGTTAGGTGGGACCAGGGATGCATCACTAGGTACTGTATGCATCACATAAACCCCCTGGTGAGCTGTCACTGGTGTTATGGATGAGCAGATGAGAAGGCTGTGAGCACCCTGCTGACCTGCTGGGCTCTCTAATTGATTAATCAGTTATTAAAAGAGCTAATAACCCTCCTAACGCTTTGTAAACATTTCATAACACAGCAGTACAGCACAGTGGCAGGATCCTGCCTCGGGGGAAGCTGGAGGCAGTGCATCTACTACAGGCAGACACCAGGACAGCAAGGAGAGGCATAGGTTGGGTGCAAGAGTGTGCATGTCCTACAAGGACCCCTGCAAAGCAGTTTGTTGTGTTGCCAGGCTGTGCCCAGGTGTGTTTCAATGTAATGTAGTTTGTGACAGGAACACCGAGGAGATGAGGCAATTGGGATTTCATCAGACTGAAGTAAATGGATCAAGAGAGTTATGCTGCTGCTGGGGGAGCAGAGGGAGCTGCTGGGTTTCTGACTGGCCTCTGGTCTACTCCCACTCCCTGCTCAGACCCATCTGGTGGCCTTTGAGTAGAAACACATCAGGTTTTGGTGTAAAGACCTTAGCAGTAACTGGGAAGAGACCTGAAGTAGCCTTTTTCCACCTTCAGAGATAAAAGAGATTATCTCATCTGTGTTTTTATTTAATTTAGGCCATAATAGATCTCCTCGGCAGCTGGGAAATGATGCTGTGCCTGCGATTACATCACTCTGCCTCCCACAGCAGGTTTTTAGCTCTGGGGGAAAGGCAGGAAAAACAACCTAGCAGTTAATTTCTCCATTTATAGTTATTCAAATAAAATTTTTGCCATTCAGCCTTAAAGAGCAGCTGATGCTTCATTGGAAGGGATAGGGAAAACAATAGTGCTCGACGATTTACAATGCAGCTCTGCCCTGGGGCACATACCATGCGTTTCTGTGCTTTTTCCTTCATCTTCTCACTTTCTGCTGTCATTTTGTGGAGCACCAGTGACCGTGAAGCACTCTTTGCCTTGAGCAGGATGCATGTGTGGGCTGCAAAGGGTTGGGATGCTGTCACTTTCCCTGCTGGAACAGGGTGGCAGTGCCATTGTAGGGGCTTTCAGAGGCTGTCCCCTGCCAGGTCTTCCCTGCCGTCCCCCGAGAATTACAACATCAATCAATCCCCAGAGGTGTTTTGGGCATGGCTGTGACTGACCAGCTCCTGTTTTCTCAGGGTGGGAAGATCCCTGTGCGATGGACAGCACCAGAGGCGATTGCGTACCGCAAGTTCACGTCAGCCAGTGATGTCTGGAGCTATGGCATCGTCATGTGGGAGGTGATGTCATTCGGGGAGAGGCCCTACTGGGACATGTCCAACCAGGACGTAAGTGTCGGGGGCTCGCTGCTCTGCCTTACTGGAAAACGATGAGGTTGAGGTGGAGCTGGAGCTGCTCCAGACTCCGCAGCCTCGGTGGCTCTCGGTTTCTGAGATGAAACAGGCTGGCGAGCGAGAGGGATGGCGGGAGGGAATCTGGGAAGAAAAGCCAGTGGGCTGGTAATTGGACTTCAGGAAGCTGCAGCGCCTTTGAAAATGTTCAGAGGGTTTGCAAGCTGGGAAAGAGCTTTGGAAGTGCGACTGCCGCACTCCAACGCAATCCGCCGAGATAATGAGTGGCAGCGCTCTGCCGGAGGAACTGCGGTGCGCGGAGCATCAGAGTGGAGATTAACCTCCTGCTGCAGCTCCTCCCGCTCATTTTGCTGGTGGCAGCGGGTTGGCAGCACTGTCCCCATGCCATCGTGCTCCTCACGTGCCGCTCCGTGCCCTGCAGGTCATCAATGCCATCGAGCAGGACTACCGGCTCCCGCCGCCCATGGACTGCCCGGCTGCTCTGCACCAGCTGATGCTGGACTGCTGGCAGAAGGACCGCAACACCCGGCCTCGCTTCGCCGAGATTGTCAACACCCTCGACAAGATGATCCGCAACCCGGCAAGCCTCAAAACTGTGGCTACCATCACCGCTGTGTGAGTCCCCGAGCAAGGTGCCGCATCTGGTGGGACCAGGATTCAGGGACTGTGTCCTCACCTCAGTGCCTCTCTGTTCCCTTCTAGGCCTTCTCAGCCCCTCCTCGACCGCTCTATCCCTGATTTCACTGCCTTTACCTCAGTAGAAGACTGGCTGAGCGCCGTCAAGATGAGCCAGTACAGAGACAACTTCCTGAGCGCTGGATTCACCTCCCTCCAGCTGGTCGCCCAGATGACATCTGAGTAAGTCTGGTGTCACCGCGTGGGTGCTGGTTTGTGGGACCGGTCAGCACAGCTGTCTGTTGACATCCCTCTGTCTGTCTTGCAGAGACCTCCTGAGAATAGGAATAACGCTGGCTGGGCACCAGAAGAAGATCCTGAACAGCATCCAGTCCATGCGCATGCAGATGAGTCAGTCTCCGACCTCGATGGCGTGACGTCCCTCGCTCGACGGGGAGGGAACGGGGAGGGCAGGCAGCGGAGGTGGGAGGGGAGGAACTGATGGGAGCCGTGGGGCCGCAGCTGGAGAGGGGCAGCCAAGGCCGGACCGCGGAGGACGTTCCTGGGACTCGCCTCGGCCTGGTGACTTCCATCTCTCACCAACAGAAGCACACTTACCGATGTCACGGGGGACAGCGTATAAATAAGTATAAATATGTACAAATCATATATTTAAAAAAAAAGAAAAAAAAAAAAAACACACACACAAAAATAACAAACCCCAACCACCAGTGAAGACAAACCAATGTGCGTTGGGGGGAAACAAACCCAAATCCTAGAGACCAGACTCCAATCCCACCGCCAGTGAGCAGTAGTCAGAACTGAGGAGGAGGAAGCAGGGGGCTGTTGGGGAAGGGAGTGGCGTCACATTGGGTTTCCCATCCAGAGAAGCCTCCGGCAGCGACCACCTTGATCTTCTTTTCTTCCTTGACTCCCTCCTGCCCGGCCCCTCCTGCTGCCCTGCTCCCTTCTCTGCTCGTGGCCTGGTGGAAGCCTCCGCAGCCGCTGACCGTGGTGTCCAGGTGTCGCTCTGCCAACTACCAAAGGACTTCGCTGACCACTGCATGGGGGATCCGACGCAATCCAGTTAATGTCTTCATATTGAAGAAGAGATGTACCTTCAATAGAAAAAAACTTTTGGGTTTTTTTTTCTTTTGCTTGCATTTTTTTTGCAAAAAGGGAAAAAAAAAAAACAAAAACACCACACACACAAAAAAAAAAAAGCCGTACTAAAAAAAACAAAACAAATTCCATCATGGCAAATGGAAAGAGGTGTTCCCATGTGTGTGTGTGCGCGCGTGTACGTTGTCAACCTACTGTGGACTTGCTGCTTGCCCGTGACCAGAGATCACCACCGACCTCAATGCAGGCGGGAGGAGGAGCCGCGGTGCGTGGGTACTGGGTTGTGGAGGAGGAGGAGGAGGAGAGATGCTCTGGGGAAGAGACTGCTGAGGCTTCCACAGCCTCGGGGATCTGCAGAAGATGGCTACGGAGAACTTTATTTCCCCTATCTTGTGGACCTAAGGATTTTGATATTGAGTTACGGACTTAGGTTTCATGGCTTCAGAGGTAGGTCCGTGTGTCTCGTGTACCTCTCATCCTTTTCTGTATGTTTCTGCTTGCTTCCTTGAAGCCTCTTCCAGCGAACATTTTCCCGTGTTTAATTTGACTTTTTATTGTTATTTTTTATTGGTTCTACCACTGGTCTCTTTTGCAAATTGATCTAGTTAAAATTACTAGATGCATGTCAGTGTTTACACAGAATATTGTAAGTCTGGGCAATCTAACTTCTCTCTGTGGATCGTGCGGAGAGTTTATAAAATGAATGAACTCTTAATAAGGCTTTTACTTAGCTGGCTGTGTGCGACTTGTAGAGATCCATCATTGCCAGCACCGAGGCCGGCAGTGGGAGCAGGGACTGGGGGCTGTGGGTGGCTGTAAGGTGCTGGGGCTGCATAGTGCCTCCTGGCCTTACCGTGGTGGTTCAGGTGTCCATAAGAAGCCCTTTACCCTCCCCCCAATGCAGCAAGCATCCATCCATGCCCCCTCCTCCCACCCCCTTGCCCATGCGTACTGTGGGGCTGCCCCGTGTCTGTGCTGTGGGTTTGTCCCACATCTGCGTTGCAGGGATGCCCTGTGCCCATGCACACTGTGGAGGTGCCTTGTATCCTAAGGGCTGAGCCTGCTTGCTTCACCCATGTCCTGCGTGCCAGCGTTGGGGCCACCAGAACTTGCCCTTGTTGGGCTCCTGCCCTTAGGACATAGGGTGGGAGGGTGGAAGCTGGCACGCTGGCAGAGGATGGGCCGCAGCGTTGGGTGCTTGTTGCTCCTCCATGTTTTCTCCCTATGACCTATCATGGTCACACAATACAGGACTGAGCTTGTTTCGCCTTGCTGAGCTCCCCTCAGAGAAAGGCAGGGTGAAACACACCTGGTTTACAGCAGCAGGGCTGCTCCTTGTGCTGCTGGCTGGAGGGCCGCCATGCCTCGGGATCGGCACTGCCCCAATCTGCAAGCTGGGATGTTGTCACTGCACACAGCCTTCAGGAGGGGTGGGTGCCACGCATACTAACGTGCTGCCTCTCACATTGGTATTCGCTGCTGGTGATGGATCCTTTGTGGGTTTTTTTTTATGATTTCTCTTTTATTAGAAGGAAGCAAAAGGCATTTAAAGGGACGGGTGGCAGTGACACGGGCTAAATATCAAGCCTCTAGCTTTGTGGCTGCACATGTGGGGCTGAGGACAATGTGGCAGCGCCGCAGCCTGTTAGCATCAAGCTGCATGCATCTGGCACTTCTTGGGCTGCACTGGGGCAGGCGGTTCCTATGTCCTAGCTTTGTCACCAGCCTCGTGCTGGAGCTGCTGTGATGACACCGAGGCTTGGGGCTGCCCTCTGCAGCAGCATCACACCGGGGCACAGGGCTGGGCAAGGAGTTGGGATGGGGCTGGGCAGTTCCTTGAGGGCTGAAACATGGTTGGCAAGAGAGCTGTCATCAAGGAGTGCCCAAGGTGGGTCACCGTGTCTTGCCTAGCCTGGTGCCTGCAGGGATTTTGGGTGTTCCTTGTCCTTCCGGCCAGAGCTGGGGTGGAAGCATTAGGGCCTGAAGCATCCCAGCACTGGCTGAGCTGAGCGGGTCTGGCTGATGGTCATCACCCCTGGGTTTAGAGGTGTTTGCACATAGGAGATCCCAGGTGCTTGGCCATAGCCATGCGACTGCATCATCCAGGTCTTTCCAAAAGTCTCTCCCATCAGAGATAGACAGGAAGCTGTGCTGGTGCTTCACTGTGGAGCTGGGCAGGAGGCTCTGCCTTGCTGTAGTTTGTTTATTGGACCAAGGAGGAATGCAGATTTGGGCCAGCTGGATGCTCTGCAGCCTGAAGGAGACTGCCAAATGGTTTTGGTGAGGAAAGAGCAAAAAAAAAAACCCAATCCCAAATGGAAAGTTCCCGTTTTACATCATCCTCTGATCTGTGTTGTGCTTGGCATCGGGGTTCCTTTCCTCGATCCTAAATTGGAAGGGACAGCTCGGAAATGATATTCCTTCTGTGTTTGTCCGTGGCAGCTCCTGGGAGTTGGGTGTGAGATCCCCTCTGCTCTCCAGATGCTATCCAGATCTTGGAATTCTCTGTCTCCAGTAGGCAGTGGGAGTGGGCTCTGCTCAGTAGTGGGAATAAAAGGCAGGAGCGTGCTTTAGGCATGGAAAAGGAGCGTGTGCTAATAGCAGCATTATGTGCCTCTTTCTAGAAAGGAAAGGAATGCGCCTTGTGCCATTTAATGACCTTCAAATTAACAGTTCTTTGAAAGCACTTATGTATATTTAATTTAAATGTTGCTGCAAGTCAGAGCGGAGCTGGCAATGAAAGCAGCAGGCGGCCGATTCTTAACTAAGAGCGAGCCCAGACCTCTGCTTCTGAGCCTGTTGGCTTCTGTTGTGTGTGATGCTTCTCTCCCTGCCCCCAGCACCTCCCCGTGGTTCATTATGTGCCATCCCATCGAGCAGCCGATGGAGGGGCAGAGGATGGGATGGGACTTCATGCGTTCACCCAGGTGCTCCTTTCCCCTTCTGCCACGTCCCCGGCGCACAAAGTCCTGCAATGCCTCCATCACCAAATCCGTCACGTCCTGCAGGGGTGGATGCTGATCTTGGAGCGACTGGAGTGCAAAATAATTTTCCAAGAGCTGGAAGGACACATTCTCAAGCAAATCCTTTCCATTTGGGAAGAGCCAAAGCACCAGGAGGGGTGCTGAGTGGAGTGGCCATGGAGGGGGTTACCCCCTCACATGGGAGCACTTGTGGAGGTTAATCCAATCCAAACACCCGCGTGCATTTAAGTGGATTAGCCCAACGAAGTGCTTCCCAAAACAGACGTGCCCTTCCAGAGCAACCGTGGAAGTGGATTAGGCAAAATCTGCTTACGGCTGCATTAACCCCAGATCAGCGTTAGAGGGATTAGCTCAGTTTGTGCTATCCACTTAAAAAATGAATCTGAGTGAGCTTTTCTCCACGTCTCCAAATAAACAAGCCTTGCTCTCCATCCTCGCTCCCATTTCGTCCCTCTGGTCCATCTGTCTGGTGTGTGCACTGCCCAGGAGCAGCTTCCCCGTGGGCTGGGCTCTCTCCTCTGCCTGCTGCTTATCCCCAGGGGTCTCGTTAGGCAATTGAACCCTCTTGCCAAGGTGGGGAGAGAGGGCAGGGAAATTATGGTCAACATCAGCGCAATTATCAACGGCAATTAGCGCTGCGCAAGGACCGGCAGCGGGCGGTGCAGACCCTGCCAGCGGCTGCCCTTGTCCCTGGGGATGGCTGATGGGGACAGCTCGAGCCAGGGGGGTGCCTGTGCTCACACTGCCTTCCTGGGGGGGTGGCTTCACACATTTGGATTGCTGCTTGTGTTGTGAGCCTGGATCTCTGGACGTGGCGCCAAAATGTATGCTTAGTAAATGCACGATGATGGCTTTTCCCCTTCGCCCTTCCCTCCCTCCTTCCTTCCTTCCTTTCTTCCTTCCTTCCTTTCTCTCTCCCTCCCTCCCTTCCTCCTCCCTCCCTGCCCTTCCTCTCTCTCTTCCCTCCTTTCCTTCTCTCCTTTCCACTCCCTCCTTCCTCTCTTTTGTCTCAGTTTTTCTTCCCCTTTCTCACATGCCCCTTCTTCTACCAAGCGCTAAATTACCAAATAAAAGTTTCATTACTACCAGGCTTTGCTAGAAATGATTTTCATTCAGCAGAATGATGAATTTTAATAGGACCAAAATGTCAGCCACGGCTGGAATTTTTTTTTAAAAAGCATTGGCATGTTCACACAGGGGCAGCAATCTCTGGTTATCAGTGCCCAAGCAAAGGGATGCAGCAGTCAATTGCTTTGTTGTTCAACATGTCAGCTTTATGTTTCTGCAGCGCAATTGTATATTTAAAGCATCCGCTTTTTGGAAGGGGCTGAGTGAGCGATGGGGTTTGGCTGCTTGGAGAAGGAGGTGCTCCTGAGAGTGCTGTTTGGGTTTTGCAGCCTCCAGGCTTTCCCTTGGCAGCTCTGTGTACCTTTGGAAAGAGCAGGTTTTGTTGGATGACGGTTTACTTGTTCTGCTGGGCGCTGCCTTTGACATGGGAGACGGCAAAGAGCATCCATTGAGGGTTGCTGTTTCACTTTGCAAGAGCAGCGGACGGGCTTGGCAGACACCAGTGGGGTTGAGCAGCATCGTGACTCTACAACACGTGCTCTGCAGGGCTGTGCATGGGGACGGCTCCTTCTCACCTTCTGTCCCACTCTTCCCTTGCAGGGGCACAGAAGCACCGGCAGCACTGCCGCCTCCTCCACCGACGAGCAGGGCTGTGAGATGGTGGGACCTGCAGCACCCCGTCCTGTACATAACCCGTGAGCTGTCTGTAACAGGTTTTCAACCCCTTGTAATTTCTTTTAATTTCGGTTTTTCTTTGGTTTTTTTTCTCTTTTTTTTTTTTTTTGCCCCTTCCCCGGTTTGTCAATTGTGTTGAAATTGTCGGAGTTTGTAATGGTAACTTTCAGAGGATATTGTACTAAAGAGAGAATTGCACTCAATAAAAATTATGAAATAAGCTTGGTTCCTTCTCTTCCCCTTCCCAGAGGCGGTCTTTCTGCTGCTGCCTTATCTGCAGCTCAGAGCCCGGTGAACATTGGCCATGAATATTCATTCGGGGAGCTGGCAGCGCTCCATCACTCCTTGACTTACCTCGAGTTTTGCTGCATATCAGATTTGGCTCTCCAGTTTGTAAATGAAGTGACTTTATTCCCACTGATCCCTATCAGAGGTTGCTTGCTGCAAAAAAAGAAAAAAAAAAAAAAAAAAGCCACCAGAAGGAATGTTCTCGGTGTGGGTTTTTACACAGGGTGCATTTTGAAACAGTTGTGTGCAGTCATTTTGGGGAAGCTGTGCTGGAAGTGCTGACTTGGATGGAAGTGCGTGGTGAGCACAGAGGCTGTGTGCTTTTCAGGGTATGTCCCAGCCTGCCCACTGAAGTCCAGTGCTCTTCTGGATCCTATGTATATAGGTTCAGAAATAGGTGTTAACATTGGGACGGTGCATGGGGTGGGTGAAAGGACTTAGAATCATTTGAGTTGGAAGGGGTCCTTGAAGGCCATCCAGCCCAGTTCCCCTGCAGTGAACAGGGACACCTACAGCTCCATCAGATGCTCAGAGCCTTGTCCAGCCTGACCTTGAGTGTCTGCAGGGATGGAGCATCCACCACATCTTCCTGTGCTTCTTAGTCTTCGGGTGATGCAGGTGGGATCAACATGTCTCTGCTGCCCCATGATTCTGCGTATGAAGCCCCCAGCAAGGAGGCTGTAGGGTTTCTCAAACCTGGCATCCAGAGGTCAGTGTCCTCATTCTGTCTCCGAGGTCATTAAGAGCTGATGTTTCTGATGGCTGCAGTTCCTGCAGGCAGGATTCTGCTGCCTCAGGCTCTGTCTGCATGGATACCATGAAACCTCAGTGCCTGTGCCATGAAATCCAGCCTTCCCTGGCAGCTCCTGCATACACAATACAAACAGGCAGTGGCTGACTGAAGGCAGAGTTGAGCTTGTTTGTGTGCCCTTACTTGGGTTGATAGTTGATTTAATGGGCAAGCGGTGTGGTTTATATGAATGCTTGTGCTTCTTGGCTGCTCTGGGATTTGGGGTGCTGAGACGATATATCCCTTACACAGGTCACCTGAGGTTTTCCCCTTAAGTACCCAGAAGACATTTACAGCCAGTGCTTAAAGTTCCCAGAGCACCATATCCGGGAATATCCTTTTAATAGGGTCTGCAGGAGCTGTGCTGACAGCTTAATGGCTGAGCTGGGCTCTGCAGGATGCAGGGTGAGCCCAGCATTGCTGCTCCATCGCTCCCATGGGGCGTCCACACACTGCCACGGATTTCCATATTGCCAGGGGAAGCTTCTTTCACCTCCCAGCCTGAACAAAATGGCATTTGGGAAGGCCACACAAAACAGTTTTCCTGCCCTCGCTGCCCTTGCACCCCAAACTGGGGCTGGCTGGACTGGGTCGTCATCAGATGGGGGAACTGCTTTGCCCTACAGTGAGAAGAGAACGGAGGTGGGTTGGGTGCCGAGCACCCCGAGGAGGAGCAGCAATGCTGTGGGGCACGTGAGGGTCACCCGGGGTTTGTCCCCATTGTCTGGTGACAGCCACGTGTCACAGCAGTGGGGCGCAGGGTGTCCATAAGGCTGCCAGCTGGCACCGGGGGATGCAGCATTGAAGGAGGTGGGACAGGCAAGAGCCCATCTTCTCCCACCTCCCCTCCCTGCTGTGCTTGGCAGTGAAAGGCAAATAAAAGACAAACCCGAGAGGACTATAGGCTAAATTGTAATTGGAGCAATATGGTCCGATTATAAAGTTCTGTGCCAACCCGCATTAAATGGCAGCATCTGCTGGAGTTATTGGAGGTGCCTCGTCACCAATTAAAAGCACTCGTTCTTTCCTGAAGGGCTGGGGCTGTACTGGGAGGGCTCAGCCCCAACCCCTCAGTGCCTGCAGGGTTTTGGGGCTGCTCTGCAGGGCGCAGCCATGCTGCGGTCCTACCAGGTCTGGTGGCTGTTCCCCCCTCACTGCTTGTGTCCCACTGCCCCAGGGCAGCACTGCAGGTTGGATGTCCTTGCAGGCCTTTTCCGTGGCAGGAGCTCTGTCTCAGCCTGGAAGCATGATGGACGTGCACCTGGAGGAGGTGACAATGGCTTGTCCAGGCCACCTGTCTGCTGAGCCAGGTGTCTGACGTGTACAACTTCCCCAAAGCTGGACCAGTGCCACTGCACTGCACTGGAGCTGGAGGAAGGGGAGGGATGAGCCAGGTTGGATGTGTGTCCCTGGGTGCTGGTGAAAATCCAAAGTGATTTGGACCATGGGCTTGTTAATGTACAAATGTGTTTACTGGCTCACATCTGGCTGGGTTGGTGGCTCCAGCCCCTGGCACGATGGGCACCAATTGGCACTCAACAGGGCACTTGCTGCAGGAAAGGCAAAGCTGAGCAGGGAACCATCAGTCGGGTTCTGCTCAATAAGCCTGTGCAACCCTGCCAAGTCCCTGAGCTTCCAAGTCCAAGAGCTTCCCTGGGTGCTGCTGAGAGCAGAAACATCTGCCGGTGGGAGAGCAAGTGACCAGGAGGTGTCTCGGTGCTATGGCAACTCTCTAAGCCCTAGGTGTTGATTTAATACATTCTGCCACATCCTGGGATGCTTTACAAACCGCAGCCCCTGCACTGAGTGGGAATCGCTCCCCGGCACGAGGAGACCACCTTGGAGGCTGCTGCAGTGGGGCTATAAATCCAGTCATGCTCCTGCCTGCAAGGATCTGAGTGTCCTGGCTGCTGTCAGCCCTGGCAGCAGGGTGGGCTCTGCTCCAGAGGGGAAGAGGAACACTTCAAGTGTGAAAACTCACCCGCAATCCTGCCCTCAGATGAAGGGATATAGTCTGATGTGTGCTGACCCCAGTGCTCGCACAGCCAGCACAGGTGGCTCTCTTCATAGCCCCTGAATTGCTTTCCCACTGGAAAAGCAAGGGCAGGCTGCTCTGCTTTCCAGTAGCTGCTGCCTTCACCCGACTTCGCTCTCATCTTATCTTAGGAGGATAAATCCCTTTCTTTGCTAGAGAGTAGGTTTAACATAACATCCTGCTAAGCTTTCTGCAGTCCCAGCCGGCCTGCACCCTCCTCCTGGTCATCTCTGTACCCTCTTGCTGCTGCTTTTCCTTATCTAAGTGTGTATCACGTTGGATATTAGGAAAAAATTCATCTCAGGGCACAGCTGCATAGGGAGGTGGGGCAGTCACCTGGAGGAGTTCAGAGCTGTGGGGATGTGAGCAGTGGGCATGGGGGGCTGGGATTAGACTTGGGGATTTCAGGAGTCTTTTCCAGCCTTAACGATTCTGTGAAATGCAACCTCAGGATTATAGGCACCGGATTTTGTAGTAGCCCATAGGTATATGTAGTAGCCCATAGGCTAGCAAGGCAGGAGGCGGTACCAGCTGTGTAGGACCTCAAGCCTAAATGGCCATTAGCATCAGGCTGGCCTTGATTAAGCCTGATGGCAGGTGTGTTATCTAAGGCTTGAGGGGATGTTGGAAGTTTGTTCCACCTGCTTTAAGTAGGCATCCCTTTTCAAAGTGAAGGATCAAATGAAGGGTGCCATGCTTGGCTTGTGATGCTCCAGGTATTTCACGGTTGCGCGTCGTGAAGGGGCTAAGGCGGGCTGCTGAAAAATCACCTGGAAGAACTTGGGTAAGTTTCGGCTGTGCTTTTCAGTGAGGTTTTCCGAGCACGTGGGGCTCTTGGTCAGAGGTATGGATCTGCTCTCAGCCTGAGTGAAGTACAGCAGGAGCTGCAGGACTTAGTGGAGCATCTCTTGCAGCACGCTCCGTGCTGTGGAGCAGGCACGGTGCAGGCGGCAGGGAGCCCGTTCTCTTGTTTCTATCCTTTGTTACGAGCTCTAAAGCGAGGCCGAGCAGTCTGGCCCACGCCTTGGTTCGTGCTACCTGCCCCTCCTTGCTACGCAGGCCACGTGTTAGATCAGCGCTGTTTTTAGCTCGGGGTGAATCTGAACTGAAGAACGCTGTGTGCGATAGCCAGGAAGGAGCTCGGGGCTGGGAGCAGCGGAGCCTTTCTTACGGCAGGGTGAGCTGTGCTAATAAGCCCTTCCTGAGCCGCTCCGCCTGCGGTGATGGGCAGAATGGCCTCCGAGCCTGGGCTAATGAGCGCTGCTGGCCGCAGCACGGCCACAGCCCTGCCTGTGAGGAGCAGCAGAGTGTTGGGTGATGCCAGCAGGGAGCTGCGGCTGCACTGCTGGGAGAGGTGGCGAGAGCCGCGTTGCTGAGCCGGAGGAATATCCTGGGGAGAAAGCAGCACCTGTTTGCAGCCTGTTCTCACCAGGAGCCTGGAACTGCAGTGCTGTGAGGTGGGTGCAAGGTGTTGCTATTGCTCGCAGGCACAGGCTTCTCTTCTCCAGGCCATCTTCTGCTCTGTGCTGCAAGCTGGCTCTGGTGCTTTCAGCTCCTCTCCGAGCACACGGGGGCTCAGGGAGGCAGCGGCGGGGCCCTACAGCAGCTCTCAGCATCACAAAACATCAAAAACACCAAACAAAACCACACAAATTAAAGGCCAGGCTGGATGTGGCTCTGGGCAGCCGGATCTGGTGTTTGGTGACCCTGCACGTAGCAGGGGGGTTGGAACTAGATGATCATTGTGCTCCTTTTCAACCCAGGCCATTCTGTGATTCTGAATCCCACAAAGCGCAAGGGAACCTGCAGCCAGGTGTGTGCCCACTGCCTGCCAGGGCTCTGGGTGAGCTCCAGGCCTGCCTGCAGCTCTGCTGTCTCAGTGTCACGGCGTGCACAGCTCTTCTGTCAGCAGCACGTTGCTGTGGCTTTGGAGCTGCACCGTGTGCCCTCCCGTCTGAGCTGAGCTGCTGTGAGTTGTGCTCTCATTAGATAGCAGACAGCAGCACGGACGGCCGTGACAAGCAGCAATTACGGCACTGACAAAATAAAAGTTTGGAGTTGTTTTGCAAATATTTTTTTCTTTGAAGCCTGCGATACGGCAGCAAGA